GGCAGGGATTTGACTGTGTGTGTGTGTCTGGGTGTGTGCATGCGTGTGTGTTAGTCACTCAGTCGTGTCTGACTCTTTGCAACTCAATGGACTGTAGCCCACCAGGCTACTCTGTCCATGGGGAATCTCCAGGCAAGAATACTGGAGTGGGTTGCCATTCCCTTCTCTAGGGGATCTTTCCAACCCAGGGATCAAACCCAGGTCTCCTGCATTGCAGAGAGATTCTTTACCATCTGAGCCATCAGGGAAGCTGTGGCTGGGAGTAGTGAATATACAAAAGAGGAAAGCAGTAATAGGAGATTAAGTTAAAAAGATAGATATTCATGACTTGCTAAGTTTGGTCTTGGTATTAGAATTAGGAATCAGTGAAGACTTCTAAGAAGGAGAAAACAGGATTTCCTTTTGTATGGTTTTAGAGAAATGACCCTTCCAATGAAAGTGGTGAATTGGACCAATGGTCTTGAAATTCCAGGCAAGACACCCAGTTATAAGGTTACAGCCAAGTCCAAGTGAAAAGTGATGAGGGTCTGCATATAGGTGAAGGGCAGTGAACCTAGTCAAGAAACAACAGACTTACAAGATACTAAGAACATGAAATCAGCAGGATATGGTGTCTGTGGGTAATGAGGATGACTCCAAATTTCTGACTTAAATAGCAGGATGTATGGTTGGTCTGTCGATCAAACTAGGGGATACTAGATGTTCAGTGGGACAGGGAAGGGTGAATAATAAATGAGCTCTTTTGACTCAGTTTAATCTAAATTGCTTGTAGGACTTTTAAGTAGAGTTCTCCAGTTAGCCTTTGTATATGGTGATCCAAGACTTAGAAGAGAGGGCAGCCCTGAAAATATTAATTTGGGAATCCCCAGAACACTCGTGAGTTGGGTCTGGCAAGAAGATGAGATTGCCCAAGTGGCACAAGCAGAATGCTATGGAATCCAATATTTAAAATAGGGAAAGAGGAAAAGAGCCCTTGGTTTGGCTGAGAATGAACTTAGGAGGCATAATGATGTGGATTCCAAAGGAATATTATTTTTAAAAAGGAATAGTCAAAAGTATCAGATGCGTCCCAATAATCATAGTGTAAGGTAGAACATGCCCATGGGTTGGTAGAACAGTTCCAGGGGAACAGTAGTTTTAGAACCCTGACTTCAATTGATTTAATACTGAATTTTGACTTTGCTTAGAAGTGTGGAGTGGGTATATTTAGGAAACCCCTTTCCTACTCCAACACATAGAAAGTCCAGATAAAAATATATGACTTTAAAAATATATTTTAAATATGTATCCAAAGTCAAAAGAAAGAATTCTCCACATGCCTCAAATGAAAGAGAAACTAAAAGCTGTCACAACAAGCAAATGTTGCAGTTGGTAATCCCACCAATGTATGAGGACCACATCTAGAGGTAGTCTTTGTCTGTTTGGTCTGCTGTAATAAAATACCACAGACGTGGTGTCTTATAAACAACAGAAATGTATTTCTCACAGTCCAGGAGGCTGTAGTTTAAGATCAAAGTGCTGGAAGCGTCAGGGGAGGCTCTCTTCTGGGTTGCAGCCTGTTTATTGTATTACCACCTGGAGGAAGGGGCTACCGAACTCTCTGGGATATCTTTCGTAAGCCACTAATCCCATTTATGAGGGCTGCACCCTCATGACCTAATCACTTCCTAAAAGCCTTGTCTCCTAATACTGTGACAGTGGTGGTAGGATTTCAACGTGTGAATTCCAGGGGGACACAAACATTCAGATCATAGCAGAGGTGAAAACCCAATAGGGGCTAGCATATTAACACCTACATGGCCTGAAAGTTTATCTGTGCAGAAGTTATACATGGGGTATTTCCACCCATAAATGAGACTAGGAAAACTCTGTGCTTGGGAATAAGGCACCCTACTCCCAGGAGAAAAGTTCAGTTCAGTTGCTCAGTCATGTCTGACTCTTTGCGACCCCTTGGATTGTAGCACGCCAGACTTCCCTCAGTTCAGTTCAGTCACTCAGTTGTGTCTGACTCTTTGCGACCCCATGGACTGCAGCACGCCAGACCTCCTTGTCCATCACCAACTCGTGGAGCTTGCTCAGACTCATGTCCATCGAGCCAGTGATACCATCCAACCATCTCACCCTCTGTTGTCCCCTTCTCCTCCTGCCTTCAGTCTTTCCCAGCATCAGGGTCTTTTCCAATAAGTCAGTTCTTTGCATCAGGTGGCCAAAGCATTGGAACTTCAGCTTCAACATCAGTTCTTCCAATGAATATTCAGGACTGATTTCCTTTAGGATTGACTGGTTTGATCTCCTTTCAGTCCAAGGGAAAAAGTGGCCTCTAAAAGAAATCAGAATCCTACACGTGTGACGTGTGCAAGTAAGGACCTCAGTTTGTACCACTCATGTAGGGAGAGAAAGTTGTAAGCCGGAGTAAGGAAGGAAAAAAAAACTTAAAAACTTATTTGAAAGTAGTGAAACTTACAGTATCCAGGAGAGGCGAACACAGCTCATCTAATAGTGACATCTCCAAAGCACAGGGAAAAATGTGGGATTCGTGCAAAGGTCAAGTCCCTGTGAGATAGAACTTGCAGACCTGAATAGCAAACCACTGTCATGAATAAAGGAGGAAAATGCAACTAATGGGACATTTGACATCCAAAGTAAAAGGGTCCGTGGCTCAGTCGTGACCAACTCTTTGAGACCCCGTGGACAGTAGCCAGCCAGGCTCCTCCATCCATGGGATTCTCCAGACAAGAATACTGGAATAGGTTGCCATTTCCTTCTCCAGGGGATCTTCCTGACTGAGAGATCAAACCCAGGTCTCCCACATTGCAGGCAGATCACTTACTATCTGAGTCACCAGAGAAATCCCAAAGAACTTTCCAAAACTACAGGGCTATATAAGAAGAACTTTAAAATCTCTGCTTAAAAATGATTCAGAGAAATAAAGGAAGGATAGAATCCACAATACAGGTACAGAACATTTTAAAGGAAAGAAGCCAGTGGATTTGTAAAAGAGCTAAATAGAAAATCTAGAAGTAAAAATCGTTGAAAAAGTTGCAAGAAGGAACAGATGGGCTAAACCATAGAGTAGATCCTATAGGGAGACTTCAGGAATTGAAAAGGTAAATGAGAGGTGAGAGAATGAAGTGACTGGGTGAAGGCCACATTCATTTGATAACTGTGTATGTGGAGGGAGAGAAGTATTCTTAGGTAGAAATACTACATCAGGAAAGAGATTCAGTTATTCATTCATTTAAAAAATATAACATAGGGGATTGAGGAATATATTGAGAGAGATCCCAGGTATGCAGGAAAGGGAGGGTCATTGGAAGGAGGGAGCAGAGAAAGGAGCCCCAAGTGCCTAGATAGAGGAATTATTGCAAGTCAGTGGGGATGAAACAAATTTGAATATATTTCTATGGAGGATAAGAGGTGAGCTGTTTGAAAGTATATCTTTCAGCCCCCTCCTTTCTTTGACAGATGGGAAGAATGTGGGGGTCAAGCAATGTGGAGATAGAAGACAAAGGTTTAAAAGATAGCCATAGAGGGAAGGAGAGAGGAAGTTGATCAGAGACAGGTAAAAACAATGCCAAAGAATGTTGAGGATTCTTCTGACATGCAGTAGCATAGATTTGTATTCTGTAAGACTGAATACAGCACCCCATGTATAAAAGTATAAAGTTATCTTGTGGGATCAATCCATGTAGATTGCAGGAAGATACATGAAAATAACAAAGAAAAAAACAGACAAAAGATACCAGTCAGAGTGATTTGAGAGGTCTCAGGGAAGAAGATTCTGTAATCTAAGTTTTGTATCACTGACCACAGTTACTGTTAGAAACCTTTCGCTTGTGGTGAGTGAGAAGAATTCTAGAAATCGACTATGGTTCTCTTATTTATTCTAGTTTATTTTCAGAGAACCAGGGCAGTGTTGCTCCCTGCAACATAATTTTGTTACCTCAAGTTAGGTTGTCATGAGTCAAGGTTTTTAGGTGTCAGCAACTTCTGTCTACATACGTTGTCTGTTGGGTAAAGGAGGTTTTGTCATACATCCAAGCATATACACTATGTATGTATTGTATTTAGAAGGACATCATGTTCTTCAGTATAACCATTATACCAACATAAATTCCTGCCTGTGATGGAGAGAACTTCTCAGCTTCAGAGGGCTTGCCAGCTAATTAGCAGTCCTTTCATAAATAAATGCCATTCTGTCACCTAGAATTGCTGAGGAGGATTTCTAGACCATTGAAATTAGTTACAGTGACAGAAATGTTGAACGGAAGGGGAAGCTTTTTAATTAAGTTGGAATTGAGTGTTCACGATGACTTTCCAGGTGTGTTTTGGTAAGAGCGGTGTTAATAGCTCACCCATGGGCCCTATTAAAGGACTTGAAGTCTGTCACTCCAGGTCGCTTGTCAGAGCCCACTGCAGAGAACAGTAATCAAAGACTTTTTCTACCTGACATCAAGGGCAGAAGGTTTCTCTCTGATGGTGGATTTGCTTTCAATAGAGGGGTGTCCATGGTTCAAAAAACACCTTCAAGTAGCGCTAACTGGTAATTTAAACCAAGAGGTCAGAGAACAACCCTTTGTAACACTTCCATCACCTTTCAGATATCATTTATGTTGTTGTTTAATTGCACTGTCTTTATGGTTAACCCAATTTTTGTTTGTTCAACATCTTTCTTGAAAGAATCCCTTCCCACTCCCCCACCCCCAAAAGACCTACCATACACTTTTATTTATCCTCAGGGATTAACTAGGATAAGGGGAGCTAATTAATATTATTAGTTTCACAATTACTCAACAACGAAGAAACTAAGAATGGAATCTAGAAATGATGTTTCCCACAAAGGTGACCTATTAGTGGATGTCATGCCTCCAGCTGGATAATGGGTTAGGTTAATAAGAGAGATGAGCACGGCATCTTTTTCCAGCAACAAAGGTAGATGGAAAATGCTGATGAAGCCAGGCAGTGTCCTGAAGTGTCTCTTTTCTGTTGGTTGTGTTCAGGGGTATCGTCCAGTCTGAGGAAAAACTTGTCATCAGTGCATCTTGGGCAAAAGATGATGATATCAGCAGGCTCTTGAAATCTCTACCAAACTGGATGAATATGGCTCAGCCCAAACAGCTGAGGTCAAAGAGAGAAGAGGAAGAAGATTTCATAAGGTAAAAACACTTAAAAAGTCCTTGCCCTTGTACGTATATGTTATATGTTGCAGTTGTTCTTAACATGCTCTCTAGTTCATAGAACTTAGGTGAGCCTTGTGGAAATGCAGATGTGCTTCCCACATTTGTGCATATACAGTGCTTTATTTCCGATTGTTTCCTACATGTTTTGAAAAAAATGAACTTTCTCAACTTTATCACGCAATATTTACCTTTGTACAATTTAGGTTATTTCTTTATCAGTGAAAACGTGGCCTAATCTGTTGATGCTCTTGAATTTCATGTGGCTGGCCTGGCACAGTGAAATATTTTCACCTCTGTCATTTTAGAGCTGTGTAAATTGGTGGACAGGTAGGGGAGAAGTGGAGGTAATATTTTGTCACATTAAAATTAGGTTTATTCTTATTGTCTTTTTGCCTATCCAAGTGAGTGAATAAATATTAATAAAATAAAGTAAAAGCACTTTAAAGAAGCAAAGACCAGAAAAGGAATAAAAGAAGTAGTGGCCAGTATTTTACTTTTAATTCATCACAGAGCTGTGAGCTCGTCTCCTTCTCAGAATGTGGGCTGCAACTGTAGATAAATAGGCCTTTACTTTTCACAAAGTTAACTGTATTTGTATACTGTGGTGCCATATCTTTACTATTTTATTATGAAAAATTGCTATAGTGCCATTTAAAACTTCCTCAAAATCATGAGACTCAAAAGTTCATCCATAATTTAACATAATGCCTCTTGATGAAGGTGAAAGAGGAGAGTGAAAAAGCTGACTTAAAATTCAGCATTCAGAAAACTAAGATCATGGCATCGACTCTTATCACTTCGTGGCAAAGGGATGAGGAAAATGTGGAAACAGTGTCAGATTTCATTTTCTGGGGCTCCAAAATCAATGCACATGGTGACTGCAGCCAAGAAATTAAAAGATGCTTGCTCTTTGGAGGAATAGCTATAACAAAGCTAGACAGTATTAAAAAGCAGAGTCATCACTTTGCCAACAAAAGTTCTTATAGTCAAGTCTGGTGTGCTACAGTTCATGGGGCTGCAAAGAGTTGGACACAACTTAGTGACTGAACAACAACAACAATTTATGTTTTCTTCCTTATATTTCACATTATCTCAGAAAAACTTGTCAGCTAGTTACATTGGTATAAGAAAACATATATATATATAAGAAAATACACATATATATGAATATATATGTAAGTTTTTTTAATTAATAGATTTTTATTTGTATAAGGGAGCAGTTTTAGGTTTGTTAAAAATATTGAGTGGAAGATGCACAGTTCCCATGTGACCCCTCACCCACCCTCACCCCCAGTTTTCTCTACTTTTAATACCTTGCAGCAATGAGGTACATTTGTTAAAACTGGTAAGCTGATACCGACATTATTATCAGCTGAAGTCTGTAGTTCACATTGGGGTTCACTCTTTGTCTTGTACATTTTATGAGTTTTGAGAAATGTCTAGTGATTGTGTCTATTCACTGGTTAAAGTAAATGTAACCATTTCAGTATCACTAAGAATAATAGTTTCTCTGCCCTAAAAATCCTCTATGCTCTTCCTGTTCATCCAGCCCTTCTCTCTTCCAACCCCTGGTAACCCCTCTTTTCTCTTCTGTCTCTGTAGTTTTGCTTTTTCCAGAATGTCATATAGTTGGAATCACACAGTATGTAGCCTTTTCATATTCACTTCTTTTGCTTAGCCCTATGCACTTAAGGTTCTTCTCTGTCATTTTGTGGCTTGATAGCTCTTTTTTTTTTTTTTTGAGATGTCTGAATAACATTTCATTGTATGGACATACCAGAATTTGTTTTTCTGTTCACCTACTGTTAGATGTCTTGATTGCTTCCAAGTTTTGGCAGTTATCCATAAAGCTGCTGTAAACTTTCATGTGTAGGTTTCTTTGTGGATGTAAGTTTTCAGCTCATTTGGGTAAATACCGAAGAATATGGCTGTTAGATTGTATGACAAGAGTATGTTTAGTTTTGTAAGAAATTGCCAAACTGCTCCAAAGTGGCAGTCCCATTCTGCATTCCCACCGACAGGGAATGGGGGTTCCCGCTGTTCCATATCCTTGCTAGCATGTGGTGATATCAGTGTTTCAGATTTGGTACGTTCTTACTGGTGTCTGGTGATCTCATCGTTTTCATTTGTATTTTCCTAATGACATATGTCAGACTTCTCTAGTGGCTCAGACAGTAAAGCATCTGCCTGCAATGTGGGAGACCCAAGTTCAAACCGTGGGTTGGGAAGATCCCCTGGAGAAGGAAATGGTAACCCACTCCAGTATTCTTGCCTGGAAGATCCCATGGATGGAGGAGCCTGGTAGGCTACAGTCCATGGGGTCTCGAAGAGTCGGATATGACTGAGCCACTTCACTTTCTTTTCTTTCTTTAATGACATATGACGTTTAGCATCATCTCATTTTTTATTTAATAAATAAGAATTTATTAAAGCAGTGACTGCTGCTTAGTCACTTCAGTCATGTCTGACTCTGTGCACATATATATGTGTGTACACATATATATGTATGTATATACGTGTGTGTGTGTGTGTGTGTGTGTGTATACATATGTAGAGAGAGAGAGAGTAAGATATCTGTTCAGATGTTTTCCCATTTTTCAATTAGGTTGTGTATTTTCTTACTGTTGAGCTTTAAAAGTCCTTTGTATCTTTTGGATACCACTTCTTTAGTTGACAGGTGTTTACAAAAGCTTTCAGTCTATGCCTTGTCTTTCCATTCTCTTCACAGAGCCTTTCATAGAACAGAAGTTTTTAATTTTAACAAAATCAAACTTAATGATTTTTTAAAAATGGACTTCACTTTTCTGCTGTCTGGTTTTGAGTGTTTTTGTGTAATTCTACTGTATCACCTTAGTGTATATATTTGGTTTTTTTTGCTTTTTTGCTTTTTTAGAGGTTGCACTAGAGTTTGCAACATACTTTTGTGACTAATAAAAGTACATTATAACAGAGTAGTCCTAATTCTTTCCCCCCATCCCTTGTAACATTGCTGCCATTTATTCCATTTATCCATAAACTATAATCACTGTATATAATGTTGCTATTATTATTTTGAACAAACTGTTACCTAAAGATCAATTAAGAATAAGAGAAACAAAAGGTTTTATTTACCTTTAATTATTCCTTCTTTAATTCTCTTCCTTTTTAAATGTAGGTCCAAGTTTCTCACCTATATTTTCTTTCTTCCTAAAGAACTCCTTTAGTATTTCTTATAAGACAGGTCTATTGAAGACAAATTCCTTCAGTGTTTGTTGGAAAAAGTGTTTATTTTTTCCCTCACTTTTGAAGAATAATTTCACAGGGTTCAAATTTCTAGGTTGATAATTCTTCCAGCACTTTTAAGTATTTCACTTCACTATTCTTGCTTTATGGTTTTTGAAGAAAAGTCCAATGTAATTTTTATCCTTGTTTTTCTGTGTGTAGGGTAATTTTTTCCTCTGGCTTCTTGCAAAATTCCTTTCTTTGTTTTTGATTTTGCACTATTCAAATCTTGTATGTGTGTGTGTGTGTTTCATGGTGATGATCTCTGAACTTCATGGATCATGGTGATTTAATGGATTTTTCATTGGTTTGGGGAAATTCTCAGTCATTATTGTTTTAATTTTTTTTTTCTCTTTCTTCTCCTTCTAGTATGCCCAAACATACATTACACCTTTTTAAATTGTTCCTCTGTTCTTGGATATTCTGTTCTGTCTTTTCATTCTTTGTCTTTGGGTTTGGCTTTTGGAAATTTTTATTGCCATTTCTTAAAGCTCATTGATTCTTTCCTTGGTTATGTCCAGTCTATTAAATAAGACCATCAAAAGCATTCTTCATTTCTGTTATGGCTTGTTTGATTTCTAGCATTTCCTTACAATTCTCCCTTAGAGTTTCCATCTCTCTGCTTACATTGCTTCTGTCTGCTTACATGTGCACATGTCAGAGGCACAGTTCAGCAAATTTTCATACTTCTCATTATCTAACCAGTATCCAGGTCAAGAAACAGAATAACAGCAGCAAGAAACGGGACGAAACGATAGTGAGCCTTATAGTTCCTCCTGGTCACTAGTCACCTCTTCAAAAGTTACCTGTGTCTTACCTTTAAGTACCTAGATTAGTTTAATCTGTTTGGGGACTTTTATTTTTAATGGAATCGTGCAGTTATATATTTTATGACTGGCTCCATTTGTTCCACATTATGTTGACAAGATTCATCCATATTCTTGTGTCTAGTTCCTTTTTCCTCTGTACTCTATATCATATTTCATTATGTGCAGCCCATGGGGTCGCAAAGAGTCAGACATGACTTAGCAGCTGAACAACAATGAATGTGAATACACCACAAGTATTTTTTTAATGTTGTATCGTTTGAATGTGTATGTGTGTATATATGCACTCATTTATTTTACTCCTGTGAGGTACACCTGGGCGGTTTCTAATTTGAAACTGTTACAAATAGTACTCTTTGTATATTCTACTCTACCTCTCTTGGTAATCATATGTATATGTTTCTGTTGCTTATATTGTAGGATTCAAATTGCTGGTCATAGCATATGCATATGTTCAATTGTAGTGCACACTGCCAAATATTTTCCCAAAGTGGTAGTAAGAGCTTGCCCTCTCAATCAACTTTTTTTACTGGAGTATAATTGCTTTACAATGCTACGTTAATTTCTGCTGTACAGCAAAGTGAATCAGCTGTATGTATACATATATCCCCTCCCTCTGAAGCCTCTTTCCCCCCCAATCAGTTTTATTCGTTGTCTTCAAAAGCTTAGAGTTAAAGGGAAGGGCTGCTAGCCCTATTTAGACATAGAGAATGCTAATCAAGAGATGAGCCTCCATATACCACCTCATATGTCTGATTTAAAAGAGCTAGAATTTAGTTCTTGGCTTTGTTCTTTTCTGTATATGATTTGAATTGTTATATTCCATCTTAAATTTGAAGGCAAAACAAATCATACATATTTTTAAAATTTTTGGTGAATTATTATATC